TCACATTGGCTAAAGTTTTGAGGTTTTTTTTGTTTGTTTGTTTTGTACCGGGAATCAAACTCATGACCTTGCGCTTGCCAGGCAGGTGCTGTGCTGCTGAGCTACATCCCCGGCCCTATAGTGGATTTCTTTGTGCCTAGTCAGCGTTTGTGCAGTGACTTCTGTGAGCTCAGGAGCTATGTTCAGCAAATCCAAGGATTTAGTAGCTGGGTGGGGTGGCACACCCCTGTATTCCCAACACTTGGGAGGCTGAGACAGCATCACTGAGCATTCAAGGCTGGCCTAGGCTACATAGTGAGTTCCAGAACGTCCTGAACTACAGAGTGAGACCCTGTTTCAAAAAACAAAACAAAACAAAACCCTGAAAAACAGACAAACAAAACAAGAATGTGAGGGGGTAGTTGGGTGTGGTGGCGCAGGCCTATAATCCCAGCACTTGGGAGGCTGAGGCAGGAGGATCATGCTAGTTCAAGGCCAGCCTGGGCTACAAAGTGAGCTCAAGGCCAGTCTGAACTGCATAGGGAGACCCTGTCTCAAAAAGATACACACACACACAAGATGTAAGGGTGAGCTGGCTGTGGCGTCTGTCACCCCATTGGTCTCCAGGGTTGATTTGGCTGATCTGGCTGGCTAGGTGGGGGTCCCCTTCCTCCCTCGGCGCACGCTGTGCCTCTCTCCTGAAGCTGAGCGCTGGGTGGAAGAGGACGAGCACCCCCGTAGAGGAGGACCGTTCCTTGGCAAGGGTATAAGAGCGGCTACACTTCCCTGCTAGAACCTCCAAACAAGCAAACAAACAAGAGCAGCTTTTATAAAATGGAAGAGGTTTGAACGAACCGATACAAGCTGGGTTGCGGGGGGTGGTCTATGGTGTTTCCAATAAATGGGAATGGTGCATTAAAAGCTCAGAGAAAAGCTACTAAGAATGAATATAAAGTCCAAAATCAGGCTTAAAAATCATTTTTACAGGTCCAAAAAGGAGCTAGGGGAAAAGCTCATCAGCTTGAAGTGGGGAGATAGCAATGGGTCAGAAGTTCAGACAGACTCTGCATCGACGCCACTGTCTGGAGGCGTCTGTGGGTTCTTGGCTTTCCAGGGAGAGCCTGCCCGGGGAGGTAAATGCAGAAGTGAGTCCTGGATGTGGGGTGAGGGCTTTTGAAGCTGTATTTGCTGCATAAAGGGTTTAAAAAGTTGAGTTTTTAGCCTAGAGGGGAGAAGATGTAAGGCAGATGGGACTTTTTTTCTTTTGCAGCAGTGGGGATTGAACCCAAGGCCTTTGAATTACATTCTCAGTCCTTTAACATTTAAAATTTTTTTTATTTTGAGACAAATCCTGTCCTACCCTGTCCTGTTCCCTGCCTTCTCTTTCCCTCTCTTTCTCTCTTCCTAGCTTCCTCTTTCTCTATTTCTCTCTTTGTTTTTTGAGCCAGGGTGTTGGTATTTAGTTCAGGCTGGTGTAGAACTCACTACATAGCCCAGCCTGGCCTTGGAGATGCAGCAATCCTCCTGCATAATGGGTTACAGGGTTACGGGTGTGTTTCACCATGCCTGCCTCTGTGTGTTTGTAAGTTGCTAAGTAGCTTAGGCTGGGCTCAATCTTGCTACCCTCCTGGTTCAGCCTCTTGAATAGCTGTGATTACAGGTATGTGCCATCACATCCAGCAGATTGTAGATATAAGGTTCTTTTTCAGGGACTGTTAAGTTTGAGTATCTAAACTAATCCTGGACATTGATCCAAACTGGGCCTGAAAGCATTGTTCCTTTCTGAATCAACCTGCCAGTGGTGTGTGCCTATAATCCCAGAACCTGGGAGGCTGAGGCAGGAGGATCACAGTGGGTTCAAGGCCAGCCTAGGCTACATAGGAAGACTGTCTCAACAAAACAAAAAAAAATCAACTTGGTTTGGTGAATTCTGGATTTTATTCTAGCGCTAACCCTGGGCCCTAGTGCCAGGACTAGCCTCCTGTTCCCAGAGACCCCATGGAGGTGGGATTTGATATTGTGAATGGAGGATCTCTTTAGATGCTATGGGTATGAAATCTTTGCAGCAGCTTCTTCCTCCTCCTGGGGTTCAATCAGGAATGGCCTTGCTCCTGGGTCAAGGGCTGAAGGTCATGTAAGCCGTCCTCAAGTAGACTTGGCCCAGGGCTGGGTGGAGACTGACTTGCTAGAGGTAGATTTGTTGGACATCTCCATCCTTGAGGTTAACTCGCAAGTACCTCTATGTTGTTCTCAGCCCCTGGTCCCCTCCTTGCCCTGACTCTGGGCAGGAGATTGGGCTGCACTTGAAGAGCAGTGCGCTTGGGGCTCTGGGGCCTCCGGTCAGCTGTGTCCGCTGGGGGCGAAGACAGAGAGCTGGGTCAGCGCTGCTGCGTGCTGTGCCCATTTCCTGTACACAGGCCCTGGGGGAAGCTGAGCTCCGGGGCAGTGCTGGCCACTCTCTAGGCAGCTCCCTCTACTCCTGCATTTTTCCATCAGACCCCTTCCTCCTTCAGACTGAGGCCCCAGTATCGATAAAGAACAGATCAGGGAAGATGGTGGGCCCGTGACTGAGAGTGAGCTCAGGAGTGGGGGGAGGGGATAGTGGGGGAAGAAGAGGGCTCAAATGGGTGGATATGGCAGTAGGGAAGGAACAGGCTCTAAGTATAAACAGTCCTGTGTTCTCACTGCAGGGATTGCTGCTGTAAAGGTGGTGAATGGGCTGGCTGTCCTGTCTCCCCTGCCCACACCCACAGGAGCTGAGACCTGGAGGCTCAGAGCCGCAGACTGACTGTGAACCAGGGCTAGTCCCTGTGACTGTTCAATTTGGTGGTGCCAGCGTGGTGGCTACCCTGAGGGTGAGCCAGGAATTTGCATTAGGGCATCCTGTTCCCCTAAACATATGGAAGCACATTTGTGCGATGTTTCCGGCGGGACACCTGGTCTGTGTTGTGGTACAAGGCAGTAGTGGAGCCTGAGGTGAGGGTAGGGTTACAGGCTGCGGGTAGGTAGAAGTGCAGTGGGGAGAAAGGAATGGATGACTGGCTGAGGAGGATCAACAGATTTGTAGAGGACAAGATACAGGCACTTTGGTCATTTTGCAGGATGCCTGTGGAGACTGTACACTGTGTTTTTAATTATTAACTTTTGCTCAGCCCTGTGATAAGGTTCGGTTGTTTATTGTCTTGTTTATTAGGCAGAAAGGTGAGCCTTTGAATGGGACAGGAATGTCCCTTCTCAGGAAGAGCAGAAAAGGCTGGTAGGGAGTAGAATGGGGATGGGAGAGGGAGGAAGGTCAAGGGGAGGAGGGAGAGAAAGAGGGAGAGACCCGTTCTGAGAGGCCAGTCTTTCCCGCTTCTCAGAATGAGGTACTCTCGACCAGAGTGGATGAGGCCAGAAAGCAACAAAACAGGAAAAGTGGGGACACTGAAGGCCTGCACTGCTAGGAGAGCTCAGGCAGGGAGTGGTTTCTGACTACCCTTACGGCCTGAAGCAGATAAACCCACCCTTTCTCCACGGTAAGCAGTGAGGCTGCTCTTGCCCTTGGGAGAAGGTGGTTAAAGTAAGCACTTCAGAGCGGGTGGGGTGGTGCATGCTTGTAATCCCAGCACTTGGGAGGCGGAGGCAGGAGGATCTGAGGCAGGAGGATCGATATGGGTTGAGGCCAGCCTGGGCTACATAGTGAGTTCAAGTTCAGCCTGAACTATATAGGGAGACCATTACTCACAAGCAAGGAAAGAGCAAACAAATCAACCCCAAGAAACCAGTAAAGTAAGCACTGCTATGGTGTTCCAGATGCTGGGCTCAGAAGGAGGCAGCCAGGAAGTGATTCACTGTGTCACCAAGGGGAAGGGATCTGCATGTGCCCATCTGTGTGTGTCTGGGGCCACTGAGGGGTCCCTGCACCCACGCTGTTTCTCTCTTCCCTGCCGCATCTTGTTACCACTGGTCACCCTCAAGCATGTGTGGGCTTTCCTTCTTGGATTTTTTCTAAAGTAATGAATTATAGCTTTTTGGGGGGCAGTTAATAGGTTTTTCTAAATTATGATTATCATTATTTTTTGGTGCTGAGGGTAGAACCCAGGACCTTGGGCATGCTAAGTACCTGCTCAACCACTGAGCTACAACCTCGGCCCCTTCTCTTGAGAGTCTCATGAAAGTTGTGGACTGTTTTTATTTTGTTTTTGTTTGTTTAAATAAAAATGTATATAATCATATAGATACAGTACTTTGCAAGGAAATCTGGCCTGTGTGGAGACCCCAGTTAAGAACCCTGGCCCTGTAAGGATGGTCTCTAAGCGCTACTGAAGCTCACTTGGGTGACGGGATTGCCTCTACCACGGGGTAGAAGGACTTGAGAAACGTGAATGGCTCTTCTGTGTTGTCCAGGCAGGAAGAAATGCTCTATCCCCATTGTATGCAACTGCTCTTAGCTGCAAGAAGCTTTTAAATCGCAAAAACAAGCGGCTGAGCTGGAAAGCAGTGGGCGGGAAGTCTGGCCTCCATCCTAACCCTTGGCCACACCTCCTGACCTGCTGGGTAAATCTCAGCAGGACCCTGGAAGGTTAACAGGAATACTGAAGTCAGAGTGGTGGGCGCTAGAGCTCTTGTGTGGAGTATGGGGTCGAGAGTGTATGATGAGAGACTGTGACCTAAGAGCCCAGAGTCCAAACACATCCCTGACCTCATACAACCACCAGTGTCCTCCCACTGCCCTGGTTAGGAAGTGGGTGCGCTTTCATGTGTCAGCAAAGCTGTGATCACTCCATCTCCTGTGTAAGAAGCCGGGGTGGGGGGAGAAGTGTGTGGTAGTGTGTGGTACATGAGTGCTCTACAGATGCCTTTGAATGATGATGGGGAGGACCTTGTGGGGCAGGTTTCCATTTGGAGCAGACCAGAACTCAGACACAGGCTTTCTTGGCCCAAGGGTGCATCTTGGTGACTGGTGTTAGAAATACTGTTTGGGAGCCTGAGGCTTCTGGGTGGGAAGGGTCAGTCACCAATCAGTATTATTTTTCTTTCAGGTATCTTAACCTTCATTAATTGTGCCTATGTCAAGTGGGGAACACTGGTACAAGATATTTTCACCTATGCTAAAGTATTGGCGCTGATCGCGGTCATCATTGCAGGAATCGTTAGACTTGGCCAGGGTAAGAAATACTAGCAACAAACACTTGCTAAGCATTTTCTTATGAGCTCAACCACTGAGCTACAACCTCAGCCCCTTCTCTTGAGAGTCTCATGAAAGTTGTGGACTGTTTTTATTTTATTTTTGTTTGTTTAAATAAAAATGTATATAATCATATAGATACAATACTTTGCAAGGAAATCTGGCCTGTGTGGAGACCCCAGTTAAGAACCCTGGCCCTGTAAGGATGGTCTCTACTAAAGCTCACTCAGGTGACGGGATTGCCTCTACCACAGGGTAGAAGGACTTGAGAAACGTGAAGGAGCCACACTCCCCAAAGTATATGTTGTGCATTATTTCATTTGAGTCTTTCAATGACCTTATTAGGGACTGTTAAAATTCCCTTTTTATTACTGAGGAGGAAACGGGCTAGAGAATTCAGTATCTTGGCCAAACTACTATTAGTTAAGAGGGGAGTTGAAATTTGCATATAGGTCAACTGACCCAAAACGTGACTTTAATTTGTCTCCAGAGAGGGTTAACTTGGCCAGAGAGCCGACAGCCATGCTCTGGGAGTTGGCTTTTATAGGTTGTCGAGCTCAGTACTCTTGCTGACTGTTCTGCCTTTGGAAGCGGGCAAGGGTCAGGAATGAACTCCTTGTACCCGTCCCTCTCTAGTTTCCAAGTATGAAACCAGCCCACAACTGCTCTGTTGACCCAGGCATCCCGAGGCCAGTCCGTCCCCGACCTGTGTCAGCCCTGTCGGTGTTAGAAAGGAATCAAGCAGTCTGAGTAGGACACTCTCTGTTTTCCAGCCCTTCTGCTCTGTGGCGGTTTCTTATCCTAGAGCTGCCTGGGTGCTTTCTGTCGAGATCCCCTCCTGTGCCATTCTCTGTATGCTGGCCCATCGGTAGATGCCTCTTCTGTTCTCAGTCCTACACCCCAAGGTGCTGCAAGCCATTCATCTGGTGCTGTTACTGTACCTGTGACTCTACTCCTTTACTAGGTCATCTTAAGGTTGGGGGAATGAACCACTAACCCTTCTGCCTTCCGCTGTGCTTGGGTTCCAGGAGCCTCGGCTAACTTGGAGAATTCCTTTGAGGGTTCATCGTTTGCAATGGGTGACATTGCCCTGGCATTGTACTCCGCTCTCTTCTCCTACTCAGGCTGGGATACACTCAACTATGTCACTGAAGAGATCAAGAATCCTGAGAGGTAGGTGTCTCACCACCAATTTCTCATAGCAGCGACTGCCATCATTTGATGAGCTCTTACTGTGTGCCAGGCAACATGCCACAACTGCTATGGGCCAGTGTCCTCAGCCCTGTTGTAATGGACAAGAGGCCTAAGGGCCTGAGACTTAACTCAACCAGGAGCCAGTAACAGAGCTAAGATGTGAAGTTTCTTGGGAACTCCTTGTAAATTCATTCCTCCAAATTGTGCTGTGTGCTTGTGTGTGCATTTAAAATAAATGTTCCTTGCCAGGTGTGGGGGCACGTCTGTACCCCGCTACTCAGGAGACTGAGATGGGAGGATCACCTGGGAGTTTTGTGACCAGCCTGAGCAAAATAGTGAGACCCTTTCCTCAAACAAGAAAAACTTTTTTTCTATGGTAATCTCACCCACTTTCAATCCTATGTAGATAATTTTAGGTCACTGACTTTGAGAAACATTGCTGTTTTCCTTCTGCTCTCAGATTCCCTAATTCCTCCGACAGCATGGTATTGTTTCACCCATCGCTCCAGCACGCCTGTGGTCCTGCCACGTGAGGAGAACCCTGGACAGGGACCCAGAGGGCCTGAGTTGGTCTTTCTACTGATTTGTTTGATGAAGGGTTGAATTACAGAATCTCCAGGACCTTTCCTGGCTCTAAAATACTCTGACTCTGGGGACTAAGACTGCCAGGGAGTGGAATTCCTGTAAAGTGTCAAAAGACTAACAGCTGTCATACCAGTGAAGTCCTTTTGGCTTTAAGACAAAGCACTCTTGGTCCACAGCTAGTTGGAATCGATGGAGCAGACCGTAGGAGCAGGAATCAAGGGCTGCTCGGTGCTTCCACCTACCGGACAGAAGCTGAGTGACATGAGGATTTGCCCCTCTTCTTTTTGGCAGTCCATGGCCGACTGTCTGCAATATTTGTAAAGATCACCACTTTTTTGGACTAGAGGGACCTTAAGAGATCTATGGCTGGCCCTCTTTATCTCTTTCTTTGAGACAGGGTCTTGCTGTGTAGCCTAGGCTGCCCTCAAACTCATGGTGATCCTCTTGACTCAGGCTCTTGAGTCTGGGATTACGGGTAAGAGCCACCATGCCTAGTTTATATTTCTCAATCATTTTTTTTCCTTTGGGTTTTCTGAGACAGGGTCTTGCTGTGTAGTTCAGGCTGGTCTCAAACTCTTGGCAATCCTCCTGCCTCAGCCTTCTGAGTGCTGGGATTACAGGAGTGCACCACCATGCCCAGTATATTTCTCAATCTTAAAACAAAATTTCCAATGTTTATAATCTTATTAGAGAAGTAATTCAGGTCTCTGGATATAAAAACAAAATCATTGCCATCTTCCTGAGCTATCTTACCAAGAACTATCATGCTGACATAGCTCTTGGTAAGTCCCTCACCTCTTCTCAACCCCTTTTTCTTTTTAGGCATAGCCTTTTCTTCTGATGTGATATTCCTTGCCCCACAGTGTTATTTCTGAAGAGTTCAGAGCTTCAGCCAGTCCTCTAGACAACCTCAAAGACAAAGGCACTGGGGAAATGTAGCAGGAGTCTTCATCCTGGAAAGACTGCTGTGGCAGGGAGAATCTAAGGGTTAAGAGAGAGGGACACGGGTGTGTGACTGATGTGTCCTTTATTCTGTTTGGCTGTAGGAATCTGCCCCTTGCCATTGGCATTTCCATGCCTATCGTCACCATCATCTACATCTTGACCAACGTGGCCTACTACACTGTGCTAGACTTGCAGGACATCTTGGCCAGCGACGCTGTTGCTGTGGTAAAGGACTTTTACTTACAGGTTGATGGTGTGTGGTGGGCTTCTGGAAATATCCCAGTTCTTTGTGGCCTTGGACAAGGGGTGGAAGCCTATTTAGGACACTGGGTTAAGAAAGTCCTGTTACGTGGAAGGTCTGGATTTCCGAAAGGAAGAATCCAGTGGCAAGCCTGCTCATGATTTCATCCCTCTTAGATTCTTCTAATGATTATTTTCCATTCCTTTCCTTAGACCTTTGCAGACCAGATTTTTGGAATATTCAACTGGACAATTCCACTGGCTGTTGCGTTATCCTGCTTTGGTGGCCTCAATGCCTCCATTGTGGCTGCTTCTAGGTAAGCGGGGCATCTTTTGCTGGCTGGGTTGGGTATTTCAGAGAGCCACGCAGGAAGTGGTACAACTTACAGGACCTGGACTTTCTAATCACCTGTCTTCCCCGACCGTTCTTGTTCCCGGTGGCGGCCTCCAGTTCTTACTCTGAACGCTGAATTCCATTCTGTAGTGTTCAGATCTTTTAAGGAATGGCAGAGGGAGGCTGTGCGGCAGGTGAGCCAGGCTGACCCCATGCCCCACCATTTTCTCAGCCTTTCCTATCTTCCTAAACAGGCTTTTCTTCGTGGGCTCAAGAGAAGGCCACCTCCCTGATGCCATCTGCATGATTCATGTTGAGCGGTTCACACCTGTGCCTTCCCTGCTCTTCAATGTAAGTATCTCAGGTTTGACACTGAAACCCATATATTCTTTTTTTTTTTTTGGTACTGGGAATTGAACTCAGGACCCCACGCTTGCCAGGCAGGCGCTGTGCCACTAAGCTAAATCTCCTGCTAAACCCATATATTGTGGGGAAAGTTTGGTAGATGTGATTGTTCTAGCCTTCTGAAAGCCTTGAGAGGATTGTGGCAGAAAAACTATTGACGCAGTCCTCACCACAGCAAGGCACTGTGCCAGCTGCTACAGTGGATTCCAGGAGACTGATTTCTCTGAGCAGTGGGCACTGCCTCTGGTCTAAGATAAGGCATAAAGTATGTGGGTTATACGTAGTGATTGATCGTCATGACAATGAGGCAGTCAACCTTTTTGCACAGCCTTTTCCTCTGTGAGATTCCTTGCCCTACATTTCTTCCTAAGCGAAGAAGTGATTATCTCCATGGGGGAAAAGGGTAATTAGGGAAAAACAAAAACAAAAAACCCCCACAAAACACCAAAAGACTCCTTGGAGGAGGAAGCACAGTTATAGTGGGTTTTGAAGATCAGGGTTAAAATAGTAGAGATGAGATTCAGGCAACAGAACATCAGAAAGTCCTGAAGTCCTGCAGTAAAGCAGTGGGAACTGGAGAGAACTGGAAATAGAAGCTGGAATCATAATGGAGATGAATACACTTTCAAGGGAGTATTTTGTGTACTGTAGAGATTTAACTTATTTGGTTCATAGTTTCAGAGGTTGCAGTCCATGGTTACTGGGCTCTGAGGCAGGAACACCCTACTGAAGGGAGTGGTGGAGCAAAGCTGCCCACTTCCTGTCAGCTGGGAAGCAGAGCACAGGGGAAAAGCACCAGAGAGGAAGGGGCCTGGGATGTGATACTTTCCCCACAGTCATGTCCAGGACCCACCACTGAGAAGCTCAAGCTAATCAAGTTGACAATCAAGACTGTCACATTTGGCAAAGATAAGAAGAATGGGCTGGAAATCCAGCCAAGAAACTATCAACTTGAAATACAGAGGGAATGAAGAACTGAAACTAGAGGCTAAAGGGGTGGGAACAAGAGGATGGATGAGAAGATCCTGGAGACTTGGCAGGGGAGGGTTTGTAGGGAAGCAAGGGGAGCGTAAAGTACCTGGAGTGACAAGGGCTCCAAGAAGAGCTGACTTGGGCTTGTGCCTACAGGGCATCATGGCGCTGATCTACTTGTGTGTGGAAGATGTCTTCCAGCTTATTAACTACTACAGCTTCAGCTATTGGTTCTTTGTGGGACTTTCTATTGCGGGTCAGCTTTATCTGCGCTGGAAGGAACCTGATCGATCTCGTCCTCTCAAGGTAACTTACTTCCATTTCCCCTTTGCTCCATCTGCAATGGCTATAGCTTTTGTGACAGGGCCTTTGCACTGACTCACACACCTAGCTCTTTATATATTTTTAAGTTTTGAGACAGGGTCTTCCTTAGTTGCCCATGCTGGGCTCAAGCTTGTGATCCTCCTGCCTCAGCTTGACCACAGTACTGAGATTATACGTGTGCCACCTTGCCCAGCGTACATGGGAGTCTTACAAGACCATTTATCCAAAGCCTTTGCCTTGGACTTGGTGGTTTCATCTTGAAATGATGGGAAAGAAGGAAGGCTTAGCGCTCTGACATTATTTTTGTGGTGCTGGGGGTTGATCCTAGGTCCTTGGGCATGCTTGGTGAGCATTCTACCGTTGAGCTACCGCCCAGCCCTTCAGTGCTCTGGTCTTCACGCAAGGTGGGGTTATTCTGGCTGTTCAGAACCCTGAGCTAACTCCTGGCTGTTTCCTGTGCCCTCAGCTCAGCCTCTTCTTCCCCATCGTCTTCTGCCTCTGCACCATCTTCCTGGTGGCTGTTCCACTTTACAGTGAAGCCATTAACTCCCTCATCAGCATTGCCATTGCCCTCTCAGGCTTGCCCTTCTACTTCCTCATCATCAGAGTGCCAGAGGAAAAACGACCTCGCTGCCTCCGAAGGATTGTGGGTAAGCTTTGCAGCCTCACATCAGCTCAGTGACTTTGAAGCCTGATGTTTGCTTTTTCTGCATAACGAGGCTCCAAGTCACCTTTGCCACAGCCCCTTCCCGTTTTAACCCCATGGCTTAATTAACTAATTCCCTTCAGTGCCACCTGAACTCAGCCCTGTTGACCTTCTCCCAATTTTAACTCAAACTTCTCTTTGCAGCATCTGCCACATGGTACCTCCAGGTCCTGTGTATGTCAGTGGCTGCGGAAATGGACTTGGAAGATGCAGAAGGGATGTCCAAGCAAGAGGACCGCAAGTCTAACTAAATACCACCTGGAACCTAAGACATGGGAGGCAAAGGCTGATCTCCCACAGGCTAGAGCTAAGGAAGCTGGACAGGAGCACTCCCTTCTTTGGAGGCACCTGTCCAGAAGCCTGGTCTACACAGTTTCATCTTTGAACTTGCTTTCTAGAGATGCAAAGTAATTTATTTGTTTTGCTACATATTGTTCCTGATTCTGTAGAGGGATGATAAAGCAGACTGTGGTGGAGAGCACAGCACCTCTGGGGCTGCCTACCCACTCTTTCTTGGGCCAACAATGCTCCATATGTGTCTCGTTTAGAGACATGGACCTGTCACAGGTGCTGGACAACAATAAAAGAGTTATATTCCTAAAGTTTGAATGGCTTCATTGTATTGGTGTCTCAGGAACTCCTCCATTACTCTAAAAACAGACAGAAAGACTAGAAACAAGGTATCTCATTACTTCTTCCCTTTCAAGCCAGCTGGTGAATGTTCATAAATCAATCTCTATACAAAGACAAGAAAACAAATACACACTGTTGTAAAACGTATGTGAATAAAAACAAATACCACCTTTCATTTTTCCTAATTATCACTAAGAATTTCAGCACCTCTACTTCAAGTAAAGTGTATAGGTAACCCTAGGTCAAAAAATGGGTTGCAAATGTACATGTTTGAGAGGGAGGATTAAGCTCTTAATGGCCAGGTTGAAGTGTTAACACGCCCCAAGAATGGGCCAGCACAAGCTACTAGGACTCAAACTATTCACTGTTCTGAGGCACACGACCCAGCTCTATTTAATAAGTACCAGAAAGCAGCCTGTGGCACAAAAGTTTACTGACCCTGTGGATAGAAAGTTCGCTTGGCTCGCCAGGGCTCTTACACTCAGAGTGAGCCTGTAGTGGAATCAGTTTTTAAAACGAACTTCTCCATGCCCCAAGGACATGGTATTAAGTCTCTTCTGAGGATGAGTTTCTGAAGAGCCAGTTCCTGCCAGGATGAGCAGAGAACATGAGTCAGCCAAGTGTGTCACGCCAGGGATACTTTGACTTTGGTTTGTCACTGCCGTTGCCACTGTTGGGAGTGCTGGGATCCTTTCCATGCTGTAGTAGAGGGTTGTGGGTAAAGGTCTGTTGTAAGGGACCTAGGTGAGAAAAAAAGAAATCTCAGTGAACAAAGGAAAAGAAGAAACCAAAGACAGAAATCAACCTGCAGCACTGACTTACCCCTGGCTGCTAGCTCCAGGTGATTCCGCATGCGCTCCTCACGCTCCCGGAGCTTCTGTGCAATTTCAGCATTCTTCCAGCCTGCGTAGAGAGGAGAGATCAGTCCCATTCCCTCCTTTACACCATTGTCTCCAGGTTGTGCCCTTACCTTTCCGGAAGCCCTTGATGATGCCTTCCTGTGGAAGTAACTTGGCAGGGTCATGTACAATACGCGGGGGGATTTTGAGGACAGTGCGCACAGCGGGAATCCGAAGGCAGCTCACTTGGATGAGGGAAAACATATTGGAGGACAGCCAGTACACGAACACTGCCTGGGTGACAACGCAGAGAGGGTACTCAGGAGCTGCACTGATGGTCAGTCCGCTAGGGGTGGCTAGGCGAGGTGGAGGGACGTGGAGCTGGCTCCGAAGCCATTACCTACCGTGGGGAACTGGATGGTTATGGGCAAGACTACCAGGGGCATCATCCTGATAACATTTCTCATCCACTGAAGGTCAGCACTCTGCACACCCGTCTCAGCACCTAGCTGTCAGCAGGGAAAAACTACAGCGAGTGCATTGCAATTCTAGTGAGCCTGGTTCTGCTCTCTCTTCCATCTATCCTGTCTCTCCAAGGGGTACAGTGACTATTCTGCACAATCACTTTGCCCCAGCTCCCATTCACTCTGCAGGCTGGTACCTGGCAATGTGGGCTCACCTCAAGGACACCCCACATTGTCGCAGTAACTGCCAGCGGTAATATAAACATGGGGTCAGATACTGTGAGGTCCTGGAACCACCACAGGCCGCCTGTCCGCATGCTGGGCACAGGAAGGTTGGCCATCTCTCTCAGGGCAATGAAGAAGGAGACGAAGACTGGGGCCTGTTACACAGGACAAACAGATAAACAGTGTCAGCACACTTCAACAGAGGCGGCATTTCACTACCCCATCACCGAAAGCGACAGCTGTCACCACCACCTGCTCTTCTGGCATGGGAAACATACAGAAGGTCATTTAATGGGTTCAGGATGAGACAGGAAGGGACACGTTTTTGCTCACCTGAGTAAGTGGTAGAATGAGAGGTCTTAACAATTTAATGTCATGCTTTTTCTGGTACTGTGTCATTTCTGCAGAGGCCCTGGAAACTGTGGGTTGAGACAAAATGGCTAGATTAACAGTTATGTCAGTGAGGGTGAAAACTCACATCACCTGGGCCATGAAACTTCAAACTGACCTTGGCCAATCTTCAGAAGCATTAGGCCCAAGAAACATACTCTTTAGAACTTGCTCAACTGTAGCACTTCCTGGTTTAGGTTGTCCCTTTCTCCCAGCAGGTCAGAAGTGCACGTGGTCCCCTCCCACGGTCACCTGCACGACTTACGCTCAAAACTGTTTCCTGCCAACTTGGCCTCTTTGATCCGAGCGGAAAACTTCTGGATTGCTGGCACATGGTTGTGGATCTTCGCTGCTTCTCGCTGGCCCTTCACAATGATGGGAAAAACCAGGCAGCGGGCAAGGACTGTACCTGGAAGACAAAAAGCAGGGCTGGTGTAACATGAAAGAGATTGTGCAGCTAGGAGGGTGAAGGTTTTAGGACCGCACTGAAAAGTCTTTATTCCAGACTTTTCCACACTGTGACTCATGCCAGGGGCCCAGAAATTAGGACAGGGTACAGACTTAGTGTCTTCAAGGCTCGGTTTCTCTGCTCTGGCATCATAAAGGTTTAGTAGTAACTTCTCTAAGCAGAGGACCAGGAATCCGCTTGTCTCCTCGAACAAAAGGGTGACAGAAGCTTCTTTTCTCATCAATTGCCCCTGAGCTTTTCTATTACTAGTGGAACTTTTCTCCTTTGAGCTCCAAGTGCAGACACCATATACAAATAAAATAAATCAAGCTGCCCTGGTGAAGGCAAAGTTTGGCAATGGGACTTGTTATGCTAGAGCATTTACCTTCCTTAGCGGGACCTTTACAAAACTCTGCATCTCCAAGGAATGAGGTTTGAGAGCTGCTGTTCTCGGAACGCCTGTAGTAGAAAGTAATCTGGCATACTGCTTCAGCTCTTTCTTACTTTCTTTACACTTTGTATCACTGGTCATTTCCACAACTGTTTTTACTGGGTATTTAACCCAGGGTCTTCACACTGAGTTACATCCCCAACTCTTTTTAAAATTTATTTTGAGACAGAGTCTAAGTTAAGTGGACCAGGAGGGGTCTGGACTTGCAATTCTCAGACTGCTGGGACTACAGGCATGTACCACCATGACTGGCTTCTAACAGATACTTAGTGCATGTTATCTACAGACATATGAATGTCTGGGCTGAGAAGAGACCAGGGAGCTAAGGATGGAAGCCTGAATATCAGCACTGAAGAGGGAGCTAAGGGTACTGGGTAGTGAAGATGGCATGCAGAAAGGCAAAACCAGGAAAAGCCTTTCATGAAAGGTAAGGGGAAGTGGGGGCTGGGGATTTAGCTCAGCGGCAAAAGCGCCTGCCTGGCAAGCGCAAGGTCGTGAGTTCGGTTCCCGGTACCAGAGAAAAACCAAACAAACAAAAAAACAAACAAACAAAAGGTAAGGGGAAGATGTCATGTTCTAAAACGTCTAATGCAGAAAGGTGAAGTATGACATGAAAAGTACATACAGTAACGGTGGCACTGGCAGAGTGAGTGACTTTGTTAAAGGCCTTTTGCTGAAGGTTAAAGAGTATGTGGGAAGACGTAGGCCCACTGGATGCAGATACTCTTTTAATTAAAAGGTATAAAAGAAAAAGGAAAGAGGAACACGTTATGAAGGGAAGAAAACTTGCCACAACTGACACATGGGTGTGGATGAACATGTTCATATGTTCAGGGTAGGGAAAATACAGGAGAGAGGAGACAACCGATAAAGCAAGGTGTAAGGAGAAAATGAATGCAAACTGCAGTTTTGGACTTTACAAGAGCAGTGTGCTTCCTTACTTTGGGGTTTAAGTGCCTGATCTGACCTTCTACTCTCCTAAACCAAGGTAGATTCATCGCTGTTATTAAGGTGCCCCTACTCCAATTCCCTGCTTACATTCCAGTATTTATACTTTTTGAACCCCAGATGATCACGTGGTTTTATAACGCTCTTTAGAATATGTAAGTACAGTGCGTCTAAGTACCATGAACTTCATTTGAAAAATCTGCTTTTCTGAACCCCAAATTTCTGTATCTACTCACACAACTGCCCTCTTTGAGGTCCCCCCACACCCCTTTCCTCTACCTTTGTCCAGGATATACTCCCCCTTACATGCAGCGATGGCCCCCCACCAAGGTAGGCCTAGGTCAATGTGCAAAAATTCCAAAAAATTCTGGATTAATCCCACTGGGGTGTATGAGCCAAGCCCAAGTTCCGTGAAGCTCAATTCAGCAGCAGCTTGGACTACATCTGTAGTTTCTCCAGGAACCACCTCAGGCACCACTGTGGGCGAGGGAGTTGCAGGAAGGACAGGAGAGGCCTGGACCTGTGTAAACGGAAGCCACAAGTGGTACTCAGTGACGTGGGTCATGCAGAAATGAGGCCCTTCTGACAGTCAGGTCCAACCTGCAGTTTACAAGTTGAACATGCCTGTGTTTTAATACAACATATATGTGTTTTGTTACTTATACATGTTAACTATGCATTTTACATGTGGCCCAAGACAATTCCTCTTCACTCAGTGCACCCCAGGCAAGCTATGCCTGCCCGATTCTGGGGGCCAGAGGCTGGACACACTTATACCACAGCTATTGTTGGTTTCGGTTTTTGACTCTACTTCTTGTTCTCCCACTGTGCCCACACTGTCCCTAGAGCTCATGCTTAAAAGGGTCACATTATTTTTACAGGAAGAGAAATCACTCCTATGGAGATTATATGACTTCCCTTTATGCTGGGAAGTTACTTTTTGAATCACTGCCCTAAGTGCAGCCATGTGAACATCACTACCATGATTTCTACTATACTGAAACCAGTCGTGCTTACTACTTCATGTTAAACCTTTATTTGGGGAAACTGTATGTAACGTGGAAAAGAACTCTGGTGCACACAGTACTTCCACTTCTTGTAACGGAGCGGAGAGGCGTCTCACCTGGGCCTCTGTGAAGGAGACGGCGGAGGTACTGAGGCAGCGGGGGCTGGAGGCGGCGAGGAGGACGCAGGGCGGTCGCCCGCAGCTCCGACCGACTGGGATCCGGGCCCTGGAGGCCAGCACTTTCGGGGGCCACTGAGAGCGCCCTGCGACGCTGTGGAGCTGAGCGGGGGAAAAGGAGAACGCGGCTCTTCACTGCGCGCGGAGGTCCCAGCGCGGCGCCGTCCACGGGCCGAGGCCAGGGCTCTGCGCCCCGCACGCCTGGGCTG